GGCTCACCGCAACCTCCGCCTCCTGGGTTCAAGCAATTCTCCTGCCTCACTCCTGAGTAGCTGGGACTACAGGTGTGCGCCACCATGCCCAGCTAATTTTTGTATTTTTAGTAGAGACGGGGTTTCACCTTGTTGACCAGGATGGTCTCGATCTCTTGACCTCATGATCCACTGCCTCGGCCTCCCAAAGTGCTGGGATTATAGGCGTGAGCCACTGCGCCCGGCCTTTATTTAATTTTTGAGATGGAATCTCACTTTGTTGCCCAGGCTGGAGTGCAGTGGTGCAATCTCAGCTCACTGCAACCTCTGCCTCCTGGGTTCAAGCGATTCTCTTGCCTCTGCCTCCCAAGTAACTGGGACTACGAGCACATGCCACCACATCTGGGTAATTTTTTATTTTTAGTAGAGATGGGGTTTCTTCATGTTAGTCAGGCTGTTCTCGAACTCCTGACCTCAAGTGATCCACCCACCTTGGCGTCCCAAAGTGCTAGGACAGGCGTGATTTACTGCGCCTGGCCAAGTTGATGTATTTCTGTGGTAGGATTTCTTTTTTTTTCCTGAGACAGAGTCTGGCTCTGTTGCCTAGGCTGGAACGTAGTGGCATAATCTTGGCTCAGTGCAACTTCGGCCTCCTGGGTTTAAGCAATTCTCCTGCCTCAGCCTCTCAAGTAGCTGGGATTACAGACATGCCACCACGCCTCGCCAATTTTTGTATTTTTAGTAGAGACGGCGTTTTACCATGTTGGCTAGGCTGATCTCGGACTCCTGATCTCACGTGATCTGTCTGCCTTGGCCTCTCAAAGCGCTGGGATTACAGGTGTGAGCCCTCACACCTGGCCTGTGGTAGGATTTTGATACCTGTTTTAATTTTCTTTGGAAGGGCCTTTTTTTTTTTTTTTTTTTGGAGACAGAATCTCGCTCTATCACCAGGCTGTAGTGCAGTGGCACAATCCCGGCTCACTGCAACTTCCATTTTCTGGTTTCAAGCAATTCTCCTGCCTCAGCCTCCTGAGTAGCTGGGACTACAGGCATGTACCACCATGCCCAGCTAATTTTTTCGTATTTTTAGTAGAGATGGGGTTTCACCATGTTGGCCGGGATAGGCTTGATCTCTTGACCTCATGATCCACCCACCTCAGCCTCCCAAAGTGCTGGGATTACAAGTATGAGCCACTGCGCCCGGCCTGGAGGGGCCCATTTTTATCTTAATGAAATAGAGCAGAGTAATTTTCAAACTAAATTTTTTAAGAGACTGGTTTATTTCAGCTCAATCTAAAAAGCAGGTTATACCCATGTCTCTGATATTTGATAATATATTTAGAAATATTAAAGTTCAAATTGGCAGTCTAGATGTTAATTCATTAAAAAAATTATCATAACGTGAAGAAACCCTTTAATTGGATAGCTTTTCCTTGACTCTGTCAAGCTGTGAAAATGGTTAAGATCTAAAAATGCTGGGAACAAGTTAGCATGTTTGAAGGTACATAGCTATTCCACACATGTGTGCACTTGCTAAGGACATCTGATGTCACTTTGTAATTAGGTACAGATAGCTGGCATCCAGCTAGGACCACAGTTGATCCTAACTGAAAACACTGACCCCTTGCTGTTAATACACAAGCAGAAAAGATTCTTGTGTTCACCATGCAGCTTGGTTTTAAATTTAATCAAGTTATAGTTTCAAAGTACAGTTTTTGAAATATTTAATTGTTATTTTGGCACTTTTACTTATGAGCCTTTATTTTTTGAGATACGGTCTCACTTTGTCACTCAGGCTATAGTGCAGTGGCACAACCATGGCTTACCGCAGCCTTGACCTCCTGGTCTCAGGTGATCCTCCCATCTCAGCCTCCTGAGTACCTGGGACTACAGGAGTGAGCCACCACGCCTGGCTAATTTTTGTATTTTTTTGTAGAGGCGGTGTTTCACCATGTTTCCCACGCTGGTCGAAAACTCCTGGGCTCAAGTGATACACCTGTCTTGGCCTCTCAAAATGCTAGGATTACAGGCATGAGCCACTGCGCCTGGCGTGATACGTCTTGATAGTCATTTTTTCTTTGAGGACTATTTACATTCTATAGCAATTAAGAATAATAGATGCTGAAATTACCTGTGATATAAAACTATTGTTTAAATCTGATTTATGACGATTTCATTTCTATTTATAACTTAAATAGAAGCATTTTAAATGTGTAACAAGGTGGTCCTCTGTGGGCTACACTAACCTGGGAGTCTAATCCTGTGCTCTAGAGCAGTGCTGCAGTGATGGGAGTAATGGAATGTTCTGCATCTGTGCTGTCTGGTACACTCGTCACCAGCCACAGGTGACTAGTGAATACATGGAATGTGGCAAGTGTGACTGTTGAACTGAATTTTAAATTGTATTTAATTTTAATTAATTTAAATTAAAATAGTCATGTGTAGCTTGTGGCCATTGTATTGGACAGCCCAGCTCTAGAATGTTCTGGTTTATTATATGAATCACTTAGTAAATGCCAGCTGCAGCATAGCCTACGATTTGCAATTAGCCTTTCTGTAATAAAGATTAATTGTCGGCCGGGCGTGGTGGCTCACGCCTGTAATCCCAGCACTTTGGGAGGCCGAGGCGGGTGGATCACAAGGTCAAGAGTTCGAGACCATCCTGGTCAACATGGTGAAACCCCGTCTCTGCTAAAAATACAAAACATTAGCTGGGCATGGTGGCGCGTGCCTGTAATCCCAGCTACTCAGGAGGCTGAGGCAGGAGAATTGCCTGAACCCAGGAGGCGGAGGTTGGGGTGAGCCGAGATCGCACCATTGCACTCCAGCCTGGGTAACAAGAGCGAAACTCCGTCTCAAAAAAAAAAAAAAAA